TCCTCCAGCTCGTACGCCTATGTTTCCTTCAAATCTCAATGTTTGAGACTCTCAGGAAACAAAATTCACTATGCCCCTCGGGACCAGACATTAAGAGTTAAATATTTTACTGAACACATCTTCTCAGTCTGTACTGGAATATCCTCTTATTTCTCTTTGATTCATGACCCATGTGAAAAAAAAAACTTTGTCCCACAGTACAGACCTATAAATCATTTGACTAAGACTTACCTATGTAATTTTGTGAATGATTTCCAGAAAATTGTATCAATTTCACTTGGAGGGGAAATTCCAAGGTAGTGGGGGATCACAATAATTTTTGATGTCTACGTGTTTACATGATATTAAAATGAATTAAGTTTATTAATTTCTCGAAAAAATTAAAAATCAGTGAAAATGTTCCGTCAACAATGTAAAGCATTAATCAATTTTTTTGTGTTAAATTGTAGCTAAATTAATTAGCTTACAGCTCTTTTAAGTAACTGCAAGGTCCTTAAAGGAACCAACTGTAATTATATTTAATACTTGCTGTTTTCTAACTTTCAGGTGAACTAATGGCAGAAGTCCTGTTGTTTCGAGGAAACAAATTCACAGCCTCAAACAACTTCACTCTACCAGGAGATAGACCAAACTGTAGTCAGGAGATCAAGATCTTTTCTAACCTGACTGGCAACTTGCCTCGACGGCTAGTGTCTTGTCCCGATTCAAAGTTATGGACAACTGATGTTAGTAGTGGAATAATTAACTCTGAAACAGAGATGAACTACAGTTTAGAACATGTCTCCTTGAACTGTAGCCGCCGGATTATTTCTGGCTATAATCACCAGTCTGAGATTGAATGGCAGGCCAGTTTGCAAATTACTGCACTTATGGCTGATCCTGGACCACCATTTGATGAGATTCGTTTCGAAATAATATGTTCGTGTATGGACTGCAGTGGGCTCAAATTCAGGGAAGCTGAGGTGTATCTCGTAAAACGTAAGTTCTAAATATTACTGAAGAGTAGAAATCAAACAATTTATTAGCCAGTTTGGTTAACATTTGCTGCTAACTGCTACTGACAAAAATTGATATTGTAGCAATGTATGAATATCTCATCTCAGGNATTCACTGTGCCCCTCGGGACCAGACATTAAGAGTTAAATATTTTACTGAACACATCTTCTCAGTCTGTACTGGAATATCCTCTTATTTCTCTTTGATTCATGACCCATGTGAAAAAAAACTTTGTCTCACAGTACAGACCTCAAAATCATTTGACTAAGAGTTACCTATGTAATTTTGTAAATGAGTTCCAGAAAATTGTATCAATTTCACTTGGAGGGGAAATTCCAAGGGAGTGGGGGATCACAATAATTTTTGATGTCTACGTGTTTACATGATATTAAAATGTATTAAGTTTATTAATTTCTCGAAAAAATTAAAAATCAGTGAAAATGTTCCGTCAACAATGTAAAGCATTAATCAATTTTTTTTTTAAGTCTTAAATTGTAGCTAAATTAATTAGCTTACAGCTTTTTTAAGTAACTGCAAGGTCCTTAAAGGAACCAACTGTAATTGTATTTAATACTTGCTGTTTTCTAACTTTCAGGTGAACTAATGGCAGAAGTTCTGTTGTTTCGAGGAAAGAAATTCACAGCCACAAACACCTTCACTTTACCAGGAGATAGACCGAACTGTAGTCAGGAGATTAAGATCTTTTCTAACCTGACCGGCAACTTGCCTCGACGGCTAGTGTCTTGTCCCGATTCAAAGTTATGGACAACTGATGTTAGTACTGGAATAACAAACTCTGAAACAAAGATGAACTACAGTTTAGAACATGTCTCCTTGAACTGTAGCCGCCAGATTATTTCTGGCTATAATCACCAGTCTGAGATTGAATGGCAGGCCAGTTTGCAAATTACTGCACTTATGGCTGATCCTGGACCACCATTTGATGAGATTCGTTTTGAAATAATATGTTCGTGTATGGACTGCAGTGGGCTCAAATTCAGGCAAGCTGAGGTGTATTTCGTAAAACGTAAGTTCTAAATATTACTGAAGAGTAGAAATCAAACAATTTATCAGCCAGTTTGGTTAACATTTGCTGCTAACTGCTACTGACAAAGATTGATATAAATTGTAGCAATGTATTAATATCTCATCTCAGGCTAGCAGGCTAATTATATATCAGTTATAATCCATCAAATATTTTGCTTGCATGCAATAATGATCTAAACGCACCACATGATCATGACTGCTTATGCCCCAGCTAAAGCTAAGAAATATCTGAGTGCTAATCCCCAGTTTTCATGTTCTGATAAATATTTGAAGGATAATAAAGACATTAGCCTCCATTTGACTTTAAAATATGCACCGATATTTGTCCTTGGAGATTATCTGTTCCTTGGAGATTATCTGTTCCTTAGAGCTCACATTTTTCCTTGAACTCCGCTCTCGGAAAACTGTTTGCTTCGCTGAACAGACAACATCTGTGGACAAATATCCAAACTTCTTTTCGTGCTAAATGGAGGTTATTGTTTACATATGTGTGCATATTCCAGAGATCAGACTTTCATCATCAATAGGCAGTTTTTAAGGCTAATCTTAAGACTTATCTTTTTAAGCGCGCATTTGATTTGTAGTTTTTACTTTTTATTTGTAGCCTAATTGTATTATATAGCGTATTTAATTCTTAGGATTTTAACTTTTAGGATTTAACATTTTAGGTTTTTAAAGGATTAGGATTTTGATTTTAGGATTTTAAACTTAGGATTTTAATTTTAAAGTATTGTAAAGCACCATGGACAATTAGTGGAAAATGGTGCTAAATAAATGTATGTTTATTTATTTATTTATTTATTTATTTATTTATTTATTTATATCACCATAACCTGCCCACCGCATGCAATGCTATGAAAAATGATGCAGATTGACATGGGGCAGGGATTGGCAAGGGAAAACTGGCAAATGAGCCTATGGTCCATAGGATTGGAAAGTTATGGACCATTTATAAGAAGTTTGGGTCATTAGGGTAAATAAATTGGCCATAAAAAAATTTGGCAAACTATACGTATTTCTTGATTACAGTTGTTTTATACTTTTTACTTGTACAGTCACAGAATATGGGTAACCCTAAAACACTGACCCCTGGTCCGTGGACCCCCACTATGAACCGGGTCTGCGGACTGCCTATAGACCAGTCCATGGACTACCCCTACAGACCCCCTCTACGGACCACCCCCAAAATAGTATAAAAATAAGAAATAAATACTTCATTTATGGGTTGTCTAATAGGATACTCGTGTCAGCAAAATTTCGAGTATTACACTGTGCAAATGTAATTAACACCCTTCAACCCCCCCNCCCCCCCCCCCCAAAAAAAAAAAAA